TTCTAAATTGTGTAATCCCCCGCAGACGGAACATTCCAGAGCTGTTCATCAGCACTGCTGCAGGTTGTAACCACTCGTTTAACCAAGATTTGAATGGTTCCTTCCTTCCTGGCACGCGCTCGTGTCTTGAGAAGTCCCCTTGGACGGGTCAGATAACCGTGCCTGTCTTCCTGTGCGCAGGCCCTGCAGCGAGCCAGTCAGATCATCGCCGAGATTCGGGAGACGCACCTGTGGTGAAGACTCTCCAGTCACGCTCTTCGCACGGATCGGAGGACGCCCTGGCTTGGAGGTTGCTAGGCCTGGTATACGGAGTAGAACTTTTATTTATGAACTCTTAGCTGTGTCCTGCAACTGTGTAAATCTGCTCATGTAAAGACAGTTGGTTTGATTTGCAAACAGAAACGATATGCTGTATTTTGCAAAATGTCCTATTTAATCTACATAATAAATGGCTCTAAATGTTTCCTTACCAGCTTTCTGGTGCAAATTAAAGCAGACCAAGTCTACTGTCTCACTGACGGTCTCGTTGAACTTGGGGGGAAAAAAAAAACGTTAAAGTTCCAGTGCCTGACTTGCTAAACAGGTTGCCTGTGGTTTAAGATGGACAGTGTAGTCTTGTGGCATAGTTTAAGCTGCTTTTACAATAGAAGTTTAAATACTGTGAAGAGAAGAGAGCACCACGTATTTTCTTTCCTGAATATATTGCATGCACTATGGCAGATGGAGATCTCAGTTTTATAGCACAGTAGAGATGTCTACCATATTACTATGTGTGTGTGTGTCCCCATTTTCTTCAGAATGTTAAAACTGTGGGCAGAGCTTTGAACCCCATTTAATGGGGTTACAGTGAGGGTAAAATAGCCTGGGGCTTGCAGAGAAGTGGCAGCCCACTAAAGAGTGGGTGCAAAGCTATTAATGTGCGCTGGAGTTTGTGTGTAAGTGTTGGGGAAGATAATCAGGTGCAAGAACATCTTCCTCTCCCTCTTTCCCGGGACCAAGCGCCTGGACCATCCACTAGTAAATTTGTTCTGGCAGAATTGAAAAATAAAAATGAATTTCAAAACTGTTATGGGATAGTGTTTCTTTTTAAAGCAGATTAAGTTGGCCTAGCAGAAGGGGATCCTCATAACTTTTTTTTTTTGCCAGATTTTGGAATGTATGACAGTAAGAAAAAGTGTGTGGGGCTGGAATTTTTACCAGTATTTACAGTTACTTGAGAATCAATTTCACAATGCTGGGTTTTCTTTCTTTTTTTTTGAAGACAATCCATTTTGTTTAGAGTTAGGAACTGCTAGGTTGGAAATTAGTTTTTTTATTACAATTTTAATTCATACAGATATATATGGATCACACTAACCTCGAAAGGGTGAATATTTAAATTTTTATGAGTTAAAAATCTAGTGAGATTCCAGCATATTGGCATGTACTTTTCAAACACCTTTACTTTTTTGTATAAAGTAAAAATGTTTGTTATGGTGTTGCTGATCTTTACACAACTTGCATGAAACATAAGACACTGCTGTTAATGTCCATGGCTTGCTTTTAGAAAATCAGACCAGCAGAGTGAGGTTTTTATTCCCACATTCAATTCCCTTCCATTTTATCAATTGACAGGAGCAGGATGCCTTTTCTAAGCTCCTCCCCCCAGTTTTCAAGAAGATCTGTTAAAAATCTGTTTTTCTTTGTTTTGGCAGTCTTCAGTTTGGCACCAGTATATACACCAGGAGTTCTCTGACAAATGCAATTTTTGGTTGGTTTATGCATTATTTGAAATAACTTATGCAAGACAAATATATTCTGTATGTTTTATAAAAAAAAAGTCTAAATTAAATTCATTAGATACAAATTATATATAATGATTGTAACAGAAAAAATAGTATGTTTTTGCACCTTTTCTAGATGCATTTTCTTCTCTGATTTCGGAAATGTGACTGTTAGTTTTCAAATCAAAGACATCAAATTTCTAGCTGGAATCTACCTGCCATAATTCCTGTACTCCTGCCATCTAGGAGATGTTTTTGGCAAGGCAGGACCTTCAGCAAGTGAACTGCTCCCAAAGGTTTGAGCTCTCCGATGTCCGCCAGCAGTATTGTCAAGGAATGCACTGACTTGTAAAAGTTACAACGTGCTTCTCCATAAGGAAAATGAGTTCCATTTGTTTAAGAAATTCTTGCGAGTAATAACTGGTGGTGTAATGTCGTGTGAAATTTCCAAAGTGTTACTTTGTTTTTTGAAACATTACTTTTTCTGTTTCACCAAAAGTTTAAATTTGATAATGTGTAAGTGCCAAGAAATGAATTTGATTTGTCATCCTCAATGCAAATCTTTAAAAATCCATGCTGTAACAATCCTTTTATTTAATAAAAATGTAATATGCAAAATTAATTATCCCAGGCATAGAGTTTTGAAATGACTTGTAGTTCAGGTGACAGGAATCTACACTTTTACAGGTTTTTATATGATTAACTATATTTAGAGCCTTATGTTTGCCCTTGCCCCAGTGAATCTACAGTTCTTGTAACATAAGAAATGATGCAGACAGGCTGCTGGGGGATATTGGGTTTTAAATAATGTGTTGTCTGGAATTGACTGAAATACTTAGTGGTTTTGTGGCTGCCATCATTAGAAGAAATAATACGAGAACTCTGGAAAAAAGGGTAATGAAGACAGCAGCTGACTAACGCCTGGTAGATGAGCTTGCTTGCTTACAACTCTTGTCCACCTTGATGAATTTAAACCTAGGATTTTTGTCATCAATGAGCAACTTTCAGCAGATTTGAAGGGGGGAAAAAGTAGTCATGATCCAAGGAAATAGAACCACAGGGTAGAATAACCTCTGTAGCTGAAGTTTAGATTAGTAAACATTTGATGTTTACCTGATATATGTGTGGTATGCCTGTAAATAAAAGGTAGCATTAAGTGCTTGAACATAACTTGTCAATAAATCGGTTGGGTATGTTTAGCAGTCCATTTCAAATTTCACTTTTATAGTGGAATAGATGGGGTTTTGGGAGATGGTAGGATTGTATTGCTAAGCAGCTGTAACAAAATGTAAGTAAAAGTTGCTTTCCCTGTACATTTTGTGGAGGACTGGCTGCCGAGGTGCTGGATTTGATGCACTGGTTCTGCTCGGTGCAGTAAGTGTGTCTGCTGTGTTCCTGTTGGTGACTTGAATGTCACCCCTGCAGCTAGGGGGGCAACTGCTGCAACGTGCAGGAGAGACTCAGGTTCTCCAACGCCTCTGCTTTTATCTTGTAGCAGTCAGAGTCCTTCTTGGCTTTGAAGGGAGTCGTGTGATAAATACTTCCAAGTGTTAAAGCAAGGTAGACGAGCCGATGGACTGTAGTTTTATGCCGAAGTAGCTACGCTGCTTAAGCTAAGCTAGTGAAGATGTTTGTATGCTTGGACAGCTTCCTTCCACCTTGCTGCATGCCCACTACCCCTTTACCTCTTCCTTGTGATGGCTTCATGGTGTGAAGCACTGCGGGGAAAGTGGCTGCTACTGCTGCTAGCTACCACGTTTCATATTCAGGAACTCTAGTTTGCAGGTTCCTCGGACAGTGTACGAGTGCGTGGGGGTTTTGTGGTGCTGCTTTTTAAAGATAAACACAACCCTGCCCCAATTATTTTTTGCACTTCTAAACCACACATTTGTAGCCACTTTAAAATACTGTTTACATTTGAAATGGATTATGTCTTTCAGTGTTCACTTGAGCAGAGCTGTGTTGGCGGTATATGAGCACTAAGAGTAACCTAAGAACGAATACCACATTTTTGGTCATCTTCAATTCTGACCTGACTTTTACCACTCAGGCATGACATGCTCTAGAGTTAGCTAATAGCCTGTCCTTGAGAAATGGTGGTTTTATTCAGCTTTTTCCTTAGAAAGAGGTAAAGGTTCAGCCAGAAGGAAGCACAGAGTAAATTTCTTGCAGTTCAATCTTATTAAAATTCTTGTATATAAAGAACTTTTTTGTTCTCATTTTGTGTGTATTTGTAAAAATAAATAAAATCATTTTAATACTCTATTGAAATGGGTAGTAAATGCTTTAACAAAACTTTCTTGGGTATGTTTTGTGGGTATATGCTGGTCTGCATCATTTGCAGGTGAAAAGGGCAGGAATGATGACACATGAGAACTAGGACTTTGCTCCCAGGCATGTGCTCCCTTAGCATGTTTCAGTGCTGCCATAACACTTCTAATCACAGAAGGGGCAAGGTTTCTAAAACCTTTGAAGTCAACACACTTCTGGTAAAACATTTAACTTCCTCCCTTCTATTAAGGGTTATCAGAGGAAGAGAACAACTTGAAGCAGCCCTGTACTGTATTTCAGGCTTATGTGATTTGAGAATTTTTCTGCTTTCTCTCAGAAAGCTCTGATCACTGCTTTGCCTGAAGGTGCTTCATCATGTAACACAGACTGATTCTGGGAGCTGAGAAGAGAGGTAGGGCCTTTTTTCTTTTTTCAAGGTGGGCAAGTACTTCATGTATTTAAAAAAAAAAAAAAAAAAACCTCACTCTCCTTACCTCAAGCAGGTAAATGAAGAAATGAAGCTAGAGACTGAATTAATACTATTAGTTCACTGTCATATTACAGATTAATAATCTGAACAAGCTGATATAAAGAAGCTACTATAAATTTATTTCCACTGAAATCTTCAAGGACAGTGCGGACACCTTAACGTTGGCTTTATCCTAAGGAAGAAGACAAAACCCAATAAACTCCAAAAGAAATTCCCTCTAAATTTAGTATATGAGGCTTTTTGATAGTTGCTAACTTTTCCTTTGTTTTCCTACTTGGGTTTTTATTCCAGCTGAACTATGACTAATTCTAACCTCAGGAGGATGAGGTTCTTTCTTGTTGGCCTACGAAGAGTGAAGATGACCTTGGAGGCAACACTGCATCCAGGACCAAAGCAGTTCTCTTGTAAGTCAGCTTGTGTCACCCCTTTGTGCTGGGGCAGAGGCACCGCCAAGAGAATCACTGTAGCTGCTCAGCCACAGCTCCCTCAAATGACTGCTAGAGGACCAGTACAGTAACAACCTATCTTGTAAGTAGTTTGAGCACAGGCTTGTACGCAAAACAGGTCTTGGTAACCACAGGGAGGGGAGTTTGTGGTGTTCAGATGGTGTTGAGAGGCCCTGGACGCCCTCTCTTGTCTAAGCAACCCAACCCCAGCTTAAGATTTATCAGAGGAAGAGAACAACTTGAAATGACCATGAACTCTATTTCATGCTTTCGTGATTTCAGGCGTGTAAGCAAGCTGCTCTGCTTTTTAGCTAGCACAGATGCATCCATGTAATTCACAGGGCTAAAGAAACTGAACAAATACTACCCAGGCTCTTAATAACAACACACAGAAGGCATAAAAGACATCCATGAGGCTGATGTTAAATTTCTTGTAAGTTTACATTCATTTTTTTTCCCTCTTACATACAGCAAAATTATACAATATTAAGTTAGAAAGCTTTTATGCACCATGTCCCATACATGACCAATAAGAAACTCACATGGCTCAGACTTAGCCACTCTCCTCCCCCTCTACAGCTCATCTTTCCCAGCTTGTTTTGAACAGGATTGGTCTAAAGATATGCTGGTTTTAGGGAGTTTGCCCTTATCCCCGAGGCAGGTTTCTCTGTTAGGATGAAGCCCCAGTGGACAACAGCAAACCCTCCCCTTGCTGGTTTCCAAGATGCTTTTCCTCAGCTTGCTGTGCATTATGCACTTGGGGCAGGTCACTCTTTTTCTTCCCTCAGAACGGAGATTTTAAGGAGGAGAAGATAGTCCTCCTCTTTGAAACTAATCGTTTTGGTTTCTTGTGCATATCCTCTTACAAATGGTGCTTTGAATAACAGAGAAATCTTCCATGGCATAACTTCTATGCAAGATAAAACGATGAAAGATTTGCCCATGACAGCATTCCAGTCCTGCAGTTTAGCTGTGCCTGGTCCCATGGCAATTGCAGCTGCTCCTTTTTGGTATTTTTGATGTTTCTGTACGTTCCTGCTTCCTAGTGGACAGGACAAAACTGTCACTCAGACCTGGCTACACTTCATAGGTAACAGCTAACATTCACAGCCCCCAGATTAACTTTAAATGCTGTCAGTTAAAAGCACCCAACTGTTAAATTCTTATACATTAATTCTTACAGAGTTGAAAAATCCAAATGCAAGTCCATAATGTAGATTGTGCAGCTCTTCCTGGTGTTTGTTTGCAGTTTGAGGGCTACGTGAATGAAGTATGATCTATCCTAAAGGAATCTGAGGTGCAGCAGATGGGGGGAAATCTGTTAAGAATTTCTATTTATTAGTAACTTTCTGATTCAGTATTTAGCAAGTCTTACGATTTACTCACTGTTGCAAATAAAACATGGAGTAATTCATCTTCGGGATCTTAGCTGCCTTTATTTGAACCCCTTCAGTCTATTTTGTTTCTTGCATTTTAAGAAAAACTACCCTATGGTAGTTTTTCCCTAGACAGTTTTTGTGAGCTGTACAGTAATACACTGTATAGAAACATCTGCAAGTACCTCTTCAGACAATAGTGCCTAAATGATACCTTATTTTAAGGAAATAACCTTTTGTCACAACTGCAGCCACTTTATAATGTAGTAATTTTTCTTTCCAATCCTAAGTAGTGATACTCCATTCTTGAGAATATGCTGTCCAACAACAAGAATAGCCTCAGGATTAGTTTCTCGAATCCCATTTATGGAAACTCCACCATCTGTGATTTTCTGGTACCTTAAGAAAAGAGCAAAAAACAAAAGTAGCTTTAAGAAGAAATTACTTATTGCTGTAAAGTAACCAAAGTTCAATTAAGAATTATTTCAGAAGTTTTTTTTTTTTTTTTAAAGATCTAAATTCAGTCCATGTGAAAAGTGACTGGAATCAACCTTAGCCTCTGCCTCTCCCATTTCTTCTGAGAGGCGGAGAACATAAGGTAACTTAATGCTATTCCTGTCTGTACCTTCATCAACTGCCATAACACTTCTAATCTACACTTCTAATCTAATCTACAACTGAGGTACAAGAGACTCCCGTCTCGTACACTTCTGCTTCAAAGTGGAATGAGGTCTATTGCCCCTTCTTCTTTAACATTGGTATGCAGGTTCCTAAGAAGGTATTAGCCCATTTTTTGGCTGTAGTTTTTTGTTTAATTTCTGATGCAGCCCACCTAGGTGAAGTATCAGCGAAAAGCACAACTGCTAGCCTACCCGCTGGGTCCGTTGGGAATGGCATTTGCTCTGCGACACAAATCGAGCACGCTCATGCCAGGTTCAAACATCAGCTCAGCAGACGGGGTTTGTTTAAAGAGCTCCTGTAACTCTTGGTCAGACATTGCTTCTAAGGCCTCCACGCTGCTGTGGTACAGGGCTTTAGTACACCTGTGAAAACAAGTATGATCATGCACAATACAGTTCTAGCCTCATTTTCACACAAAATGCAGTTCAACTAGTGAGATGAAACAAATTATTCCCCTCTCAGCTTCTTTGGAGAGTCTGCACCCTGCCAGGGGTACTGAGGAGTTACACATATCCCCCAGTGAACATTTTATTATATGCAAATTTGGCTCTTTAATATATTTTCCTTTCAGCCTATGGAATTATTATGTTTTTCTCTTGTAAGAACTGAGCACCAATTAGCTTCGTGAAAGCAGCCCCAGAAAAGCCACAGCTAACTATCATCAAACAAACTTGGAAGAAAACCACTTGACAAATCAGACTTCACCTCTTGGCCGATTCCAGCCCTTCTTTACCATGAACAAGCTTCGTGACTTCTGCAGCAAGTCGCTTCTGAGGGCCCCATTTTTCAGGTTCTTTAGCATGCATTTCCATGATGTGGTGAATCTCTTCAAGAGGAAGGAAGGTGAAGAGTTTCAGGTATCTACAAGCAGGGAAGAAATGATTTTGTCTATGCAGCTGTCATACCTGTCTATGTAGCTGTACACCTTAGCTCTGATTGCCATTCAAACTGCATTAACATCACTAAAATGATTCTGAAGCACTTCATGAAATCTGTACTAGAGATATTTCATCCTTTCAAAGAACTCTTTGTTCCTGCCCGCGTGCTTCAACTTAACATGTTTATTTGTGGGCTTTTTTGTTAATTTAATATTCCCTGGAGCATCATGTCTTGGAAAATAATGCAGAATGCAATCAAGAACTTGCTTTTCCCATGAAATGCTTACTTTACAGGTCTTATTACAAATGTGCATCTATAAATGGAATGCTTTACTACATGGATCTCTATTATATAGATCTTTGCATTTAATATGCATACAATATGATAAAGCAAAGTACCCTTGCTATGGCGTGGTGATTATGGTACAAAGGCACGCCACATAATGACTGAGTATCTCAACAGGAAGGTTATTCACAATGAGCAGGGATTTAGATGTGCACAACCTAAGCATACTCTTTACAACAAATCCCATTTCTATACACTTGCAGTAGTGTGCTGTCATTAAAGCTGTTTATTAAAAAGGGGAGCTTTACCTTTGAAGTCTGAAAGCATGAAACATTTGAATCTTAAGTACCCACACACCTCTCTGCTGAAAGGTGCTATGTATGAAGAATTTAAGTTTAAAATACCGGGGAGTAAACTTCAGAGAGATAACTAGGTTATGAAAGAGGTCGCAGTGCGAAAGGCAAGTAGGTGTGCCAGGATCACGAGTACTCAAATGTCACAGCGATAGTAGAGCTTAAAGAAAATTTTTTGAAGAAAATCTAAACATAGTACCTTAAATAAAGCTATTAGCTCTTTATTTTCAGCCATGCCACTGGCATTCCAACACAGAGGTTAGCCATCAAAGAAGGTAACATATCGAATGTTTTTTTTCTGAGCTTTTTGCTACTCTTTCATGTCTTCACGATATAATTTTAGTATTTTTAGGTTGGTCATTGAAAATACAAGTGCTGTGTGTGGCTAACGGGGACAGCAAAATTAATCCAAAGCATTTTTGGAACTGCCCTACCTTGATAGATGGCCATTCAGGATTTTGTTTTCATATATGCTACAACATGCCTTAAAAAACATACGTGGTCCAGGCAGACATCTTTCAAGTTTTGCTTCACCTCAGTCTCATGATATTTGTTTTGCCCATCAATCCATTATAATGGCAAGCAGCAAATAAGAATGTGAAAAAAAAATCTTTGCTTCCATACTCCAAAACTAGGAATATGTAAATGATAGCCCAAGGTAGTGGTTAATATTACCTTTGAAGCAAGCAATTTTTTGGGTTCTGCTCTGCTCCTTTTCCTTAATAGTTTATCTTGCAGCAACAACTTCAACCTGACTGCTGAAAAGCTCTACCCTGAAAATACATTCACACTGTCTGTTGGGAGCTTGAAATTGTATCATTTTTCCCACTTTAAAATTGTGCTGCTACATAGCATATTTGCGTCCTATGTATACCTTTTTCTACGCACTCAGAAACAATCAGAAGTTTGAGCTTCGTAGTTTTTTTCCTATTCCAGACACATTCACTCTTTCATGAGGCTCTTCTGGTGGAATAATGCTGCATGTAATAGGAAGCAGCTCCAGATGCTGAACTCTGTGTGTTTGTTTACCACTAGTTAAAAAGCTTTCAGTCACTCGATTGGCAGATTAGAATTTATTATGCTTTACTCATACTTGAATACTGATTTACGATGCATATGCCAGCATGGAAACAAGTCCTACTATCCTATGTGTTTATGAACCAGTAACGCTTGCTTAGCAAGAATATTAAATATAATTATTGTTAACATTTACTTCTGCATACTACTGTCGGAAATAGTAACAGTTAGATGACCTCGTGTTGCACCTATCTGAAACGGTTACATGGAACAGTTAGGAGCAGGTCTTAGAAATGATGACAAAAGGGCATCTGAAGAGCAACTACTCACTTTTCAACTATGTTATCTTGTTGTCTGACGAAAAACTGATACAGCTCAAATGGAGAAGTCTTATCTCTGTTCAGCCAAACTGCATTACCCGCAGTCTTTCCCAGTTTGTCTCCAGTGGTGCTCGTAATAAGAGGTACAGTGATTCCAAACACATCTTCTCCTGTCTCCCTAAGAAGGAGGATCACACATTAAAATAAACAAATATTGAATATCTTGGTAAGCTCAAATAAAACTTAAGCATTCTCTAAGATTCCTCTATACTTTACAGAGGCAGGGAAATAATACCAGCAAAAAATAAAGAATAAACCAAAGCAGTATCTTGAGCAGGGTGTTTTAGGTAAAAAAAATGAAGTTAAAAGTTCCTTTGTGTGCAGTGAGGAGGTATAAATAAGTATTTTAAAAAGGTAATTTTGAAAGCAGTAGCAGTGTCAAGTGTCCTGTGTCTTTTCTTCCTGGGCTCCAAGCACTAGCTGAAGCTGCTTGTGGGCTTGGGACAGCTAAATGCTTTTCTTCCATGCTGGTTCTCTAACATCTCGAAAGAAGCCAGTGAAGTAGAAGCATCGTGTTCAGTTTTGGGCCCCTCACTACAAGAAGGACATGGAGGTGCTGGAGCATGTCCAGATAAGGGCAACGAAGCTGGTGAAACAGCTGGAGCACACACTTTATGAGGAACAGCTGAGGGAACTGGAGTTATTTAGTCTGGAGAAAAGGAGATTCAGGGGAGACCTTATTGCTCCTTACAGCTACCTGAAAGGAGGCTGCAGTGAGGTGGGGGTCAATCTCTTCTCCAGAATAACTACAGATAGAACAAGAGGAAATGGCCTCAAGTTGTGCCAGGGGAGGTTCAGGTTAGACATTAGGAAAGATTTCTACACAGAGAGTAGTCAAACGCTGTAACAAGCTGCTCAGGGAAGTGGTGGAGTCACCATCTCTGGCCATGTTCAAGGAATGTGTAGATGAGGCCCTTAGGAACATTGCTTAGCAGGCATCGGGGACACGGTGGTGATGGGTTTGCGGTTGGATTTGATGACCATGAAGGTCTTCTCCAACAATAATGATTCCACGATTGCCATGCACTCTCTTCCCCTTGGCTTGTTTCCTTGGGTGACTTCCCCAGACTCCAACAAAGACCCATCATTGGAAGGTTCCACTTCCTCTCCAAGAGGAGAAATGCAAATACCGACACACAACCCGCAGGTCTGCAGAAGACGCAGCAGATGGCTAGAGGGGATCACGAAACGGCTTTACCAACAGAACACATGACGTTTGGTTAAGAGATAAAACGTTAACTCCTAACGGACACGGGCTTTAGAGCCCGGCGGAAGCGCCCGTGCAAACCCGCGAGCGCGCCCGGCCGCGCGGTACCTGCTCACGAGCTCGTAGCCGGACATGATGTTGCCCATCTGGTCGGCGCCGCCGATCTGCAGGCGGCAGCCGTGGCGG